TTCCATCTTTTAAAATATGAATTTTCCTAAACTGGCTTTGGCTATGTAAATGTGATACTGTCTTCTTCCACATGCTGTTATTTATGTAGTAAATGCACTTATGATATGAGACTTTGATAATATATAATGAATTCATGCTGTGCATTCTAATTATTACTTATTTCCATGTTGTTATTCATATATTATGTTTGTGGAGTCATTGTCAGCTGTCTATTTCTTTATTTAAGTTCCTGTCTTGTTTGTCCTGGCTGTTGTGGCATTAAGCCTGTGTCTGTAACAAGGAGAATAAGTCGGTTTTCTCATGAGAAGTTGTATTGATATTTACTTTGTTATCTTAATGAATGTAATATGTAGTATAAGGATTTAATTGTGGCATTATTGAGCTAGGTTAAGTGCAACATATGAAAGAAAGTAAAATATATGAACTGGTTTGTGTGCATGTGACAACCTTTGAATGCATTTTATCTCAGTGCTGTTCAGCCAGTGGTAAAATCTTCTCCCTTTTTATCATCATCATCATCATTGATCATCCAATAAGATCCAGTTTTGTCAAAGATTTGTAAGTTGTTGAAATTTCAAACTAAATAATGCATATTAAGTTATGATTTATTCCTAATGCAGAATTGGTAGTTCATAACTCTTCCATAAGTCGATTTTCCATGTCATAAATTTAATTTTTTAGGACAGTGTTTCTATTTCTGCGTCTTTTGTGAATCTGATTGTTCTCACAAATCCATCAGGGAGAACCAGACACAATCAGTTCTAGTAGGGTTATTTTCCATTTCATAATTACTCCACAGTTTGTGTTCATTAAGAGTGTTTCTTAAAAATAGACTGAAAAACACTGCACAAGTCTGGCATAACTACAGCAGCCTTTTCTCCTTTAATAATTTAATATTTAATTTTTGTGTTCTGTAATATGTTCATTGACATTTAAGGTCTGTTAAATTACTTTCCGTAGTGCTTTGTATGTTTCTATGTGTATGCTTGTACTTTGAACCTATCATTCCAATTAATAGAGCATTAGAGTTCCTGTACTGTTAATAATATTAGAGTAGCTGATAAAAGCAGTAACTGATGTTTCTGCTACAGTGTTTGGATTGATGATTAAGACAATTCACAGATTTGGGATGTCAGTCAGTACTGATAATGCAATACAGTACAATATTTTGGTATCAATATTAACAAAAGTATATTGTTTGTTATAAGTATAAATATCTTTTGGCCTGTACTAGCAATCATGTGAAAATAAGATGCAACACAGTAGATTTGTATTCATGAATATAAAATATTTAGACATATGATATGTAGGATTTATCGTTGATATGATGTAACAAAAACATTGATCTCAATGATTAAGTATCAACAAAACAAAAGCATTTACCTGAATAATTTAATACTGATGTTAGCTTTCACATTGTTTTAACATCCCCATCTGTATTGTAAAAAATAAATTATTTTTTCTGTGAAATAGGATGTTATTTTCTTTCCAAGAAACAAAATATTTAATTGGATGATATATTTTCTGAGTAATGTTGTTATCAGAACAGTTTCAATGCTTGTGCATGATGTCTGGACGGGTGATATAGGAACTGAACTAACGGGTTGTCACTTTATTGTAACAAGATTCCTTAAAAGATGTCCATGTCAGTGATTGTACATTAATAATAATAATATTAATAATAATTTAGAGTTATACAGGGCTGGTTTGAAGAAAGGTATATAGCCATATTCATAATTTAAAGGATAAATATTCCCCGCACCTCCAAAATGAAAATAAACTATTGTAGTTTGAGTATAAAATATGTTAATTAAAAATGTAGTTTCAGTGTTTGCTACAGATTATCTTGTTAAATCAATGTGGACAATTACAGAATACCACAGTAATAAATTTAATTATAATAAAAATGTGGTAAAGTACCAGAACTGCATACAGTGTGATGTAAAGTCATTGCAGGCTGCAAAGTCATATCATCATGGAAGGCTAGCCATTTTGAATATTTCAAAGTAAAAGAGTATTTATGTATGTGCTCATAAAGATATTTGTAAGGGAAGAAATGAAAAGTAATTAAATTAATGCAAAATCATGAGGAATAAACATACTGATACATGTTTTCATTTCAAGTCTCTTCTGACATTTGCACCATTATGTATTTCATCCACACTGTTTAAGACTGAGAGATGAATACTTAACTGAACAAAGTGACTGAACAAATCTTCATTGTGAACACTGCTTTAAATTTGTGTTTCCCTTAGCATGAGCACATACCTTTCACTAATTTTGTGATTAGTTCTTAACTTACTGAACAATGGTCAAGCTGGCTGTGAGAGGCAAATAGTACACAGATTATATTGGAAGTAGTTGTGGAAAATTTCAGCATCATGACAAAGGAAATTTCTTGAAATATTGTTGTTATTGTTGCATAAGAATAAATTGTAGTGAAGGTGGTACTTATAGTAGAAAATTATACTGGGGAAAGCAGTTAAAATGCAGGGGTGCAAATGGTTATGTTCCATTTTATACTTGATTATTTATTGTCTCTGATTTGCATATTTCAACATCACTTTTTGTTTCATGTGCATTTTGTGTCTTCCTTTTTCTTAAAATGAAAATACAAGTTGTACATTGACAAGAATTAAGAGTATATTTGTGCAAAATCATAACTTGTGTTCTTAGTCATTTTCAAGCTGTCCTTTAACATGTGCACAATTCATGTAAAGTTGGTACTAGAGGAAGACCAGATTTTATCATGATATAAATATTAAATCGGTACACAGCATTCAGCATTAATTACACATAATGAAGGACTTAACATTGTTTACTATAACTATAGTAACCATCGTCAAATTGCATGCTTCAGGTTCATACCAAAATCATACAATATTTGCAGAATGGCAAAGCCCAAACAAGTGAAGACAACTCACAATAGCTTGCAGCATAGCAAAGCGAGCAATGCTGTACTGTTGACTTGGAGGGGGGGGTGTGTGTGTTAAGTCCTTCTGTGACCTTGAACCTTGCAATTTGGTGACAGCTACTGTAACTGACTACATTGAGCAGGGTCCTTCTTGGAAGGTTGATGTATGTTCAACTATTCAAATTCATTGCATTGTATGGAACATTAAGGTTCGTTACCATGTTTACAAGAGCCTTACACTGGTCCCTATCCTGAGCCAGATGAATCCAATTCACAGTCTCCCACTTTATTTGCCCAAAGTCTGTTTTGATATTATCCTCCTCTCTACACATAATTGTTCTGAGTGGTTTCTCCTCCTCAGGGTTTTCGTATTGAACAATATGGTCACAGTCAGTCCTGGTATAGCCATGTAAACTCTGTGTCATGTATTGCAGCTTTGCTGGGTTTCTTATGTCTTGACGATTACTGTATTCTGTGATGTTGTGCCATGTAGTCTCACAGAAATTGACCAATGTTCCAGTGGTACTGCCTTCATCATGCCCTGATGTACATTTCAGAGGTGCTTGCTGTGAGGCTACATGATGCAATATCTGAGATGACAGTAATCTTCATACTAGCTGCCTTGAGAATTTTAAATCACCTTCTGTCATATCTATAGTGGCAAGTAAAAATGTGGACTTTTTCACTAAGTTATGTATCTAGATTTATACATTTCATTTAAAAATTTTGATATGTGTCCTAAATTGAAATATGACAATGTGCATTGGATCCTGTGTTACAGTTGATTTCTCTCCTGGTTGTTATTTTTGCACTTATCCATGTTTATTAGTATGAGTGCTTGAACACAGCCACAAAAGTAATAATTAGTGCAGATTTACTGTAATTTTCCATGTTATTTATTCTTATGTGTAAGATATATTGTTTTATCCATGAATGATTTTTTATGAAATTTTATATTGGGAGTTGTTTAAATAGGATTTCCAGGCAGAAGTGATAGAGCCTGCTTTCCCATTGCACAGACTTTTCAGTACTACAAATCTTGTGTTGTTAATGCCATATTTAGTTTCCACTGATGTAAATCTGTAACCCACCAATACAATGCCATTTTACTCATGGGTTAGTGTATTGGACCCATGCAGATGGTTACAAAATTGAATCAAAGGGAAGTCAGAACATTTTGTTGTCTACAGATATAAATGCATTACAGATCATCGTAATTATAATCTTTATGGAAAGAATTTATTTAAATACAGATTTTGTCTATGTTAAATTTGTCAGACATAACTAAAAGATTTGCACTGTCATCAGGTTTGTAATTGTTTGCTTTTAAACAATATTTCATACAGAATTTGTAGGTATGTTTAAGATATATCTTGTGCAAAATTTCATGTGGCTATCTCCAATACTTCTTTGGTTGTAGGCATCAAACTTATAGCTAAATATAGATTTTATTAAATCTCTGTGTTATTGTCTTACGTCCAAAAAAAATGTATTTCTTTAAAATGTTCCTATTTTTCAAAGATCTGTTCCCATACACAATTTCAGGACCCAATATTAAGTGACACTAGTGTTGTTCACACTCACAAGTTTGCATTATTTACCACCTGTAGAAAATTGAAAAATGTGAGGTTGGTATAGCCTTCAGTGGCATAACAGTTTTATTAATTTTTTTTTAATTCTGGAAAATTGAGATGGCAAAACTTTGTCTAAATGTAATTCTATCCGCACAGAATTACTGAGTTATGAAACAGAATCACCACACTTGCAGTTAGGAACTGCACTTCCAATAAAAAGGAGCAGATACAAATAAACTTGGAATTACATTAATAAAATTAACAAGCAGAAGCAGGGGTAATGACTGAACCAGTGCCACTAAAACAATGCTTTTTTGGAAGTGGGTTAAATGTTAAATTGAAAGGGAGTATAAAAAAACAGAAATCAAACAATTTAAAATCCATGAAGATTGCTGTCTTCTGGGTTGTT